CCCGGCGGCGAGATAGCATAGTTGATCTTTGTGACTGTACAGGCAATTTGGGGCATTCGGGGAGCGAAAGGAGCTTTGAGTGTCAGTCCAGTGCAAGGGCATCAGCAAGGTGGCGTCTTTGACGGCTCCAGCAGCGCCGGGGACACTCTCTTCTTCCATGAAGGACCATCCATGTAATTTACATGCTTTGGCATCTATGGAAGAAGAGCGTCATGTGAAAAATCAGCAGATGTCTGCCTCCATGCGAAGTTCACAATGCGCTTGAAGTGTACCCGGCGGGCGAGATAGCATAGTTGATCTTTGTGACTGTACAGGACCAATTTGGTGCAAAAGGGGAGCGAAAGGAGTGCTTGAGTTTCAGACCAGTGCAAGGCAATCGCAAGGTGGCGTCTTTGACGCTCCACAAGCGCCGGGGACACGCTCTTCTTCCATGAAGGATGCCAGCCATGTAATTTACATGGCTGGCATCCTTCATGGAAGAAGAGCGTCATGTGAAAATCAGCAGTGTCTGCCTCCATGCGAAGTTCACAATGCTCTTGAAGTGTATTGGCAGACGCTTACCTTTTGACCCCCGGCGGCGAGATAGCATAGTTGATCTTTGTGACTGTACAGGCAATTTGGGGCATTCGGGGAGCGAAAGGAGCTTTGAGTGTCAGTCCAGTGCAAGGGCATCGGCAAGGTGGCGTCTTTGACGGCTCCAGCAGCGCCGGGGACACGCTCTTCTTCCATGAAGGATGCCAGCCATGTAATTTACATGGCTGGCATCCTTCATGGAAGAAGAGCGTCATGTGAAAATCAGCAGTGTCTGCCTCCATGCGAAGTTCACAATGCTCTTGAAGTGTACCCGGCGGCGAGATAGCATAGTTGATCTTTGTGACTGTACAGGCAATTTGGGGCATTCGGGGAGCGAAAGGAGCTTTGAGTGTCAGTCCAGTGCAAGGGCATCGGCAAGGTGGCGTCTTTGACGGCTCCAGCAGCGCCGGGGACACGCTCTTCTTCCATGAAGGATGCCAGCCATGTAATTTACATGGCTGGCATCCTTCATGGAAGAAGAGCGTCATGTGAAAATCAGCAGTGTCTGCCTCCATGCGAAGTTCACAATGCTCTTGAAGTGTACCCGGCGGCGAGATAGCATAGTTGATCTTTGTGACTGTACAGGCAATTTGGGGCATTCGGGGAGCGAAAAGCTTTGAGTGTGTCCGTCCAGCAAGGGGGCATCAAGGGGTGGCGTCCTTTGCCTCTCCAAGGCAGCTCCGGGGACTCTTTCTTCCATGAGGATGCCAGCATGTAATTTTCATGGCTGGCATCCTTCATGGAAGAAGAGCGTCATGTGAAAATCAGCAGTGTCTGCCTCCATGCGAAGTTCACAATGCTCTTGAAGTGTACCCGGCGGCGAGATAGCATAGTTGATCTTTGTGACTGTACAGGCAATTTGGGGCATTCGGGGAGCGAAAGGAGCTTTGAGTGTCAGTCCAGTGCAAGGGCATCGGCAAGGTGGCGTCTTTGACGGCTCCAGCAGCGCCGGGGACACGCTCTTCTTCCATGAAGGATGCCAGCCATGTAATTTACATGGCTGGCATCCTTCATGGAAGAAGAGCGTCATGTGAAAATCAGCAGTGTCTGCCTCCATGCGAAGTTCACAATGCTCTTGAAGTGTACCCGGCGGCGAGATAGCATAGTTGATCTTTGTGACTGTACAGGCAATTTGGGGCATTCGGGGAGTGAAAGGAGCTTTGAGTGTCAGTCCAGTGCAAGGGCATCGGCAAGGTGGCGTCTTTGACGGCTCCAGCAGCGCCGGGGACACGCTCTTCTTCCATGAAGGACATGTTGGCACGCAAGAAGTCGTCCGCCGCCCAAGAGTGCTCATCAAATGCTTGAAGGCACTGGGCTAACATTGCCGACGTATCCAGCGGTAGGATTGGCCTTGCAGGCCCGTGAAGTTCAGGAATGGCCATGGCTGTGATGAGGGCCAGGATAAGAAGCCAAGGCCCGCAAGCTGATATGCTGCGCTGTTTGTTGTGTGGTTTTGCAAGGTGCGTGCCTCAGCCTGTCAATGCGCTGGCGTTGCTCATTGCAGTGGCCGAGCACGGCCTGGGTCTTGGGAACGTTGAGGGGTTGGCAGCTGACTCGTTCGGGCTTCAGGAGTCCCTGTCCGCCGCCCACGAGTTTTCGCGAGGAGTTCCCGGTCGGAAGGACCGTGAAGTCCCTCTTTGCGAATGTTCCTGCTTGTGCTGTGATGCGAGGACCGCAACGGCGCACCGGCCCAATCTTCAGACTTGTCCACTAACGCAAGCAGATTGACCCTTTTCGCATCCTGCGAGCTTAGTGAGGCATCGAGCCAGCGCTGGTTGCATGCTGGAGTCGCCTTGCGTGCCAGGGCTGCACGAGAGGACCTTCGGACCCAAAGCTTGCAAGTTTGGACGATTGCAGTTGCCAGGACAACAATGCCGAGGCCTGGGGGACATGTGCATCAGAACGCTGGGCTTCTTGGCTGCCAGGACCGGCTCCATCTCGAGGAGGCGGCAGGCCTTCAGAGAAAGGACAGGTCCCAGCTTGGCCTCGCTGAGGCGATTGCTGCAGGACAACGACACGGTGGAAAAGATAAAAGCTGTCTTGCGCCGCTGGAGCAGCACATGGGTCGGGGTTTTCAAGAGCGGTGAAAGGTTTGAGCTCAGGAAAAGCGCAGAAGATAAACCCAGGGAAGTGGACCCTTTCAGGGAAGAAAGACGAGTTGAAGCAAAAACTGCACGTCTGAGATTCACAAGCGGTTTTCGTGCGACGCAGGCCAAAGCAACCCTGAAGGGCTTGAAAGAGGACGTCCGTTCCTGCGCACTGCTGGGGCTGTGAGTCAGGGCTCCTGTGTTGTGTGTTGCAATTGGTCCGCCAGGATTCTCGCAGGGCGCAGGTCCAGATCTCGGTGTCGCTGTAATTGTCTTTGCCTGGATTCTTAGCTCCTCTTGAGGTGACAAGCTGGCACCCTGGGCGTGGCGGAGTTGCTTCGCGTGCCAGCCCGCAGCAGGACGCTCCAATCAGCAGTTGTAAATTTGGCCGGTTGCAATCGTGCCAGGACAGTGGTGCGGAGGCCGGGGGCTCGCATGCGCCAGGCTTGGTTGTTGGTGAGTGCTGGCAGGACTGGCTCGCCAAGAGCCGCGAGGAGGTGGAGGCTTTTGGCGAAGAGGAGGTTCTGAGCTGGGCCGAAGCGGTGCTGAACGAGGGCAAGGTGAGAGATGAGCTGATCCAGCAGACGGTGACGACACTGCAGGCAAGTCCCTGCGGGAGCTGACACTGGACGAGCAGATTGCAGATGGAATCCCCCTGCAAAACTGCTGACCAAGAAGATCCAGTTGTTGCAGGAGCCCCAGGCACGGCTGGAAAATCGTTTGCTCTTGACTTTGTTCTGAGACATTGGTCGTTGCGTGCGGTTTTGAGGAATTCCCCCCGCGGCCCGCAAATGCTTTCAATGGGGCTGCCCTGATCAACATCCACAGAATGAGGAAATCCCAAGATAGCATTTTTGCAGATTGCGGCGGTTCGTGTCGTTGGCAGGCTCGGTATGGAGCCCCCATGAACGGATGGTTGCCTTTCCTTGTTGGAGGTCGGTCATTCCTGCTGGTCGACATTGATTGAGACGTGCCGTTGATCGTTGTGAGTGATTTTGCGCTTGTCCCCAGCCTGCTTTTGAAAGAGCAAGACCTGCCCGTCTGCCGGGGAGAGGGAGGGCAAACTCTGATGTCTTTGCGCCCATTGGGGCCCTTGCTGCTGCAGGCACAAGTGCATTCTATGAATGTTCTCTTTGATGCAGTGAGCTCAACCATTCCCGGCTTTGCATCCACTCGCAGTGTTCTTGATCGATGTTTTGCCCGTTTTGCTGCCATTCCATCCTTTTCTGTTGTTCAATTTTCTCCGTACCTGTTCATATCTGCCTGATTTGGTGTGAGTGGTTAGTGGAGCGCAAAACTATCAAACAGTCGAGGGGGAACCCGCAAATATTGAAGAGCCTGCTGTTCCAGTCGCGCTTGCGTTTTCTTGCCGCTTATTTGCAGGGCACAAGCCGCTTGCAACGATCCCTCGCCCCCAAGTGCGACGTGAGAGAACAGCTTTGCGACAGCGCAAGGTTGCTGGTGCGAGCTTTCTGCTTCCCTCGATTTTGATGCACATCGCAAGGTCCCCCTTGGTTTGAATTGAAATATCTCATCGCGAGGCATGCGGTTGGCCGCGCCCGAAATCCAGGGTCAAAGCAAACGTTGGTGACGTTGCTGGCGGCCCGCAAATGCTTTCAGTGGGGTTGCCGTAATCACATCCACAAAGCCAGGAAATCCGAAGATTGGTTTGTGCAGAGCGTAGCACTTTCTGTTTGTTTGGAAGCTGGCTGCATTTTTGGCAAATTTAACGTTCCCGTTTTACCTGGATCTGTTGCACTTAACCCCAGAGAAGCAATGGAAGCCGCCCGTGACATCCCCTCAAAATTGTGGGTTGTTAAGGCTCAAGTTGATGCTGGTGGCCGTGGTAAAGGGGGAGGTATCAAGCTAGCAAAATCGGTTGAAGAAGTTGGCGACCTACTGCTCGTTGTGTGTGGTTCTTGAGCGACCGCCCGGCATGCTTTCAGTGGGGCTGCCCTGATCACATCCACAGAACCATGAAATCCCGAAATTGCATTTGCAGATCGCAGTGTTCCTGATTTCATAGACTTCAGCTTGCTGCATGTTTGGCAGACGTGACACGAATCAGCGTGGAGGCCTATGAATCGATGGTTGAGCCCAACAGTGCACCACCTGCTTTGCGTCCCAGAATTGTTTGGTTGTGTTCCGTAGCGCTGCTTGCTTGCCTTTTGCTTGCCTTTGGCAGTGGCTTCGCCATTCGCTGTTCAACACCTCTCCATTTCCAGGCACACATCCGTTTTGCAGGACCCACTGGCCATCATGGCGAACTCAGAGCACACCGTGGAAGGCTTGCTACGCCTTCGAGCCTGCCTGAAAGAGAAACAGCCTGCCAGTGTTCATGGCGAGCCAAACAATGGCGAGTTTCAGGCTCGGCGTTTGGAGTCCCAGGAGTTTTTGAATAGGGTCTCCAAGATGTTGGGGGATCGAAGTCGCAGTGGCTCTTTGACTCTTTGACCAAAGCAGACAGCCCGCTGGAGTATGCCACGAGTGGCGCTGGCAAGTCACGTTGGGGCTTTGAGGTACGCTTGCTGAAGCGGAGCCAAAGCTTCCAGTCGTACGCAGTCTCTCGCATAGGGCTGAATTTCAACGGGACTGGCGGGGGAACTGATGGCACAGAAACGGAATATCTTCTTGAGCAGCAGGGCTTTTCCTTGCAACAAGTCGTGGCCACACTACTTCTTGCTCGGGGGCTTTTGCAGTGCTCGCCAGACAGTTTTCGAGGGAAGGAGAATTGGTTAAGGGCCTTGAGAGTCAACGCAGTTCTTGATGCAGTGTTCAAAAGCTTTGCACACAGCTCGGAAAGGAAGAGCATCCTAGTTGTGCATGTGGATGAGCTTGCATTGCTATTGGAAGACAACTCCAAAACTGTGTGAACGTTTTGGCTGAATACGTAACTGTCCGCCGAATCCTTCGGGATTGGTGCCGGTCATTGCGCACACTGCGCCGGTGGACTGGGATCCAAAGCCGACTGCTGCAACCGCAACGCTGCAGAAGTTCGTTCCGTTCAACTTTGGAGACTCCCAGAAGTTCTTCCCAGGGTTCAACTGACGGGGGGGGGAAGGGCATGATGTGCACGTGCTTTGGTTTCGAGAGAGCAGCATGTGAGCATGCACACTGGCGTGCGTTGCGTCCTTTGCTTTCCCTGAGGCCTGAATACAACTGGCCTGGATTCCCGCCGTGCCATCAGTGCCTGCGGAGGTCATGCAGCGTTGCTGGTGGAGTTGCGCCGCTTCATGCAACGGCAGTCTGGCAGACTTGGTGCACTGCTCACATGCAACCGCGTCTCTCAACACAGAAAGTCTTTGCAAAAGATTAAGCAGCTCGGAGCAACATGCAACACCCTCGTTCGGGCAGTGCTTCTGCAAGACGCTCTTGATGAAAACCAACTTCACGATTTCAGACGGTTCTTCCAACTTGGTCTTGTCTTCACAGAGGTGAATGAGTTCAATGACACCTACCGCATCACGGTACCATACCCATGTTTCTTGAACCTGTTGATGCAGTTGGATCGGCCAGAGCGTTTCAATCACCTGCGACACGTAAATCCCACTGGCACAGACCGCCGCTGGAGTTCGAAGTCATTCGAGGCACTTTGCGCAATGCGAGTGGCCATTGACATGGATGGCTTTCCCTACGACCTGCCCTGCGATCCTAGAGCAGCAGCGATAGAATTCAGAAGAGACAGGAAATCTCGTGTGTGTCTTGCAGAGAGCGATACGGAGCCGGGTGTGGACAGCATCGGATTTGACGGCAACACCATGACCTTGGTTCAGAGCAAATACCCAGAGGCTGATACAACCCAAGAGTGGAAGGAAATTAGGGAGTTTATGAACTTCGCAAAAACGACTGGTGTTGATTGGGCTAAATCAGCAAATTGCACAATAATTTGTGCAATATTTGCCACTGCGAGGGCATCAAGAAACTATGAATCGGAGTGGCCAATGGAGCTCAATGTCCAGGAAGTGGTCATCACTTACGTAATTTACGCCAAGACTCAAAACAGCAGAACTTGCGCAGTCCGGACAAAGCAGATCGATGAATGGATCCCTCCAGGACTCATGTGCATGTAACAGCAACAGAAGTCGCGCGTCTGGACAGCTGCTGCGGCTGCTGCTCCTGTGGAAAAAGTCGCCAGCGTTCCAGAGTCAGCGTCAGGGAAGTCTGATTACACGGTCTGATTACAGAGTCTTCGCCAAATTGCTCATGCGTGCTTGATTAGTTGTTACTGTTTGTTTATCCTAAGAATGTTTCCTCAGGACTCCCTCGTCTCGGCTTTTTTGGCATAAAGCTGCCTGACATTGAAAGACTGCTTTTTGAACGGACGCATCAACAGCTAGAAGGAGAGGAGAGTCAAAGTGGCTGTACTGGTGTACGCATTCACGAGGTCGGGTCTCACACACACACCGTGTTTTTGGTGCTGGCTGCTCCTGGACAGGGGAAGTCGCGCTGTCTGCAGGAGCTGCCTGTGTTCATCAACGCGACTCAGGCCATTGGCCAAAGGCGGAAGTTGTCGTTCCTTCTCACCTTGGAGAACGGACACGGGAGACTTTGCTGAAGCTGGCGCTGCGCCACAGGGCAGCGGCGTTCATCCGCTCCAGCGCGCGCCCCATGGTGTTGGGGGATACTGGTCGGCCCAACCGTTCTTGCAGGTAGCATGGCCTCTGTTGGAGGCTCGCCGCATTTTTTGGTTAGTGGACGTTGGAGGCTCGCCGAAGAAAGTGGCTTGGTACTGGTCTGCCCAACGGGTGGGGGGAGCTGGCTTGATACTGAGCTGGCCAACGGGGTCCGGCGCAGTCTGCCGCAGCTCGGGACCCCGGATCGGCTTGTCAAGTTTGTCAAGTTTGTCGAGCCTCAAATGGCCTGAAATCTGTGCAAAATGCCTATAAACAGGCCATTTTGCATGTGCAGTGATGCAAAAGTCGGCTTCAACCCGTCTGATACTGGTCCGCCCCGGCGTCAACCCGGGATTCCGGCTTGTCAAGTTTGTCAAGTTTGTCAAGTTTGTCAAGTTTGTCAAGCCTGTCAAGTGGCCTAAATTTCGGGCAAAATGCATGTAAACGGCTCATTTTGCACCGGCAGTGAGGCAAAAGTCGTCTAAAACTTCAATAAATAGCCAAAATCACCGGATTTGACAAACTTGCGGCTTGTTGCTGCGGCCGCTGTCCGAGTTGGCTATTCAGCTCTCCTATGGGCAGCTTCTAGTGTGGGGATGGTACTCTGGTACACTTTGCAGGATGATGATGTTTTGAATTCGATTCGCCCATATCGGAACACGCTTGATGCAAATGCCGATGGTTTGCTCGCTACGAAACGAGCGTGACACATATTGTCATCGTACTAAATCAGGCCACCGTTTTGTAGTGCTCGCTTGGCCATGTCATCGAGATCTACCATAGCATAGAGTGTTGTATGGTGTGGCTGGATGGGAATTTACATTTCTCATATCGTATTGCCAGCCCAGGACTGACTAGACCCCACACTACGAGGTAGCCTTTATTCGGGCATCGTCATAGTGCAGATCAGTTGCATATCCCGCATTCTACAATACTCCAGTGATGCACACGTGCACACGTGTTGTTTTAGTGCTGTCCATACCTGGTTCTTGATGCACTCGTGTCCACTGTCAAGCAGGGCTACAAACTGAATGCTGCCGTGAATTGCTGGCTCTAGGCACTCTAGTCGTTGCCTTGGAGTAAAGACCGCTTGTTGCAACTGTTGCCAAGCCTCCGGCAGTGTGCCTTGGCCGTCGAAGGGGTTCTGGTGATAAGGTGCGCATGTTTTGCATGTGAAGGACGCACACCATATTGCCTAGAGTGTCACATCGTTTCCTTGTCAGTGCAAAAACTTGGGGCAGGATCAACCTGTGCTTTTCTGGCAAAGCCAAGGTTTGGTTTTGCGCGATGCCGGGACGTGGCGACGGTCAATCTGGCTTGTGTGTATGTGCAGGCAAATGGTAGTCGTTGAGTGCGCGCAAACAAGAGCCAGATATATTTTTTTCCCAGACCCCCGTGATTCATTCCACTATGGTTCCGTCCCCTTTTAGGAAAGACCAGTGATAGATGGAGTTGACTTCAGGGGGCGAAAAGGGGATTCCGCACAGCAGGCTTTGAGAACATTGGCCAGGGAGAGCCGGAAGAGCAAACGGAACCTGAGCATCGAGGCAGCCATGGCCGCAACTCGCCGAAAAGTGCTTCCAACTCAAAGGGCAACATGTTGCACGACAAGCTGACCACCACCCTTGACCAACTCCAAGCTCCCCTCAACCCGCCCCTTGGCCGCAAAATGGGGCGTGGTCGAGATTTTCCGCGGGCCTGTGAGTGAGGTTTCAAAGAACGGGTGAAGGAGAAGGAGACAACGCGGGAATTGGTTCAGGAGACCCGCGAGTCCCGACTTGGGCAGGTATTTTATTTGAATTCTTGCCGCCTTGATCTCTAGGGCTGGCTGATGTTTCCGATTGTTGTTCGAGCCTCCCAGCTCTCAATTGATGCCAGTGATCAAATTCAGGTGTGGCCGGGCAAGCAGGTGGGAACAAGGGCAAGCTTACCCAGGGTGGCCAAATCACAGAACACGCTCAGAAAGAGCCAGCTTTTCTTTTTTCCTCTGGCTGCAGTTTTAGCCATGTACCCTCGCAGCTTGCGGCCTGGGCTTCTTGTGAGGGTGGAGGGGGCTGAAGCCGACCTGAGGTTGGCGTGCGCCGGCATGCTGGCGCAGCAGCGCGCTGGCCCGCCCGCCTGGTGAGAGCGGCCTTAAGTGGTATGGGTCAAAATGAAGCCACCAGAGGACCGCTGGTTTTAGTCTTTGTTTCCATTTGCCAGGGTTCGATTTTGGGTGCCTATTTTTGACCCACATCCCTGTTGCTCATGTTTTGGTTGAGTGAGTGCGCCAGCTGTTTTGGTTGAAGCGCCCAGCGCGGGATCATTTTTCGAAGAACATGCAATTATCGCGTTCTGCCGCCCACGATTGCAATACTCTCAGCTAGCATCTGCTCTCCAAGGCTGTATTTTTCATTCCAATCTGGAGGTTCTACTAGAACATCACTTTTACCAGGCTCATGTTGATCTGAACGCGTAGTCGGACAGAGAATCACTTCAGCCTCATTCAAACGAATGAAGCTCATAGTCCTCCACACGAAAATGAACATACCAAGAATCACGCAAATGAACATTGCCATGGCCACGTAGGAGCTCAAGGTGGGCTGCTCACCACGCCATTTGAGCCACGAGTCTCCACGCCAAAGCTGCTCATCACGAAGTGCTGAGATGGTGGCGATGGAGCTCTTTCGCAGGTTTATGGGCCACCTGACCTGGTTGATCCCCGCCTGTCTTGTGGCAACCTCGGTATCTCACACCCGGATTCTGGGCATCGCAGGCCTTGTGATTGCGGTTGCGGCCGGCTGGTGCGTTATGTCGATGCTGGTTTGGTGCAAGCACTTCGCACACAGAAAGCCACGGAGCCACCCGGAGAGCCCAAGCTATTTGGCAAGGCCCGCAACTTGGGTGTAAGGTTTGGCACCATGCTGCATGCGTGTCCAATCGAACCTTACATGTTGCCGCATTGCAGGATGATGAGCCAGCCACATCAGCCACATCTACGCCATCCACTCGATCCCCACGGTCCCCGCAATCTCGGCGCAGCAGCGGTTGCCCAGCATCACCATTTGGAACGAATCCGAAGCTTGCTTTGCATATCACCCAGAAATCTACTTGGAAGCAAAGACAAGTTTGTTTGGAGACCAAAACCATTCCACTGGAGATTTGTACCGTGTATTTTACCCTCCCAAGTGATTAGCAATGTTTAAGTGATTAGCAATGTTTCACTTGTCATATGAGTCATATGAGCAATACGCATTTATAGAAATCACACGAGTCAAGCACGTTATTAGACGTGAGATCTGAGGACCCCAAACTTTTTCAGCGCGCCAAACCTGGACATGAACCATATCCAACTGAGCTTCAGCCAATTCATGTGGGCATCTTTCTGGATCGCGGTGCCTGCCTCCCTTGCCATGTTGAAGGGCCTAGGCCAGATGAGGTGCTGCAAGCTGTTGGTGAAGCTGGGCTGGCTCCGGCCGCCCTCGGCCGCGGCGATGCGGAGCGCCGTCTTCCACTTGGTGCTCAGCAACCTGGGCCTTGCGTTCCAAGACATCCGCACAGAAAGCGGGGAGGAGGTGGCGACCTTCGAGTGGAGCCCCTTCCCACACTTCGTGGACACCCACCGTGCCTGCGAATTTCGGGGCGAGAGCTCCACCATGAGAGTGTCGCTGAACCTGTCACGGGGCGACCTGGCGTCAGCGACGCTGGACGGGCACGAGAGCTCCCCTGATGATACTTTGGTCCTTCTGCGTCACTACACGGCTCAGGTCCACCCAAAAGTGCATGCCTACGCAAATTGGGGGTGCGACCCGCAGTCCGGCAAGAACCTGCACTTGCAAAAGATGAGTGTCGTGACGGCTTGCTACAACCACTTTGGCTTCAACAACTACCCAAAGATCGCAAGAGTGTTTCTCGGCGCAGACGTTGGGCGAGCGCTTGCCCAGTGCACGGATGTGGCGATGCGGAGCACCGTGCCACCCCATGCGCACATGAGGGCGCTGGCGCCGTCGCCGCTCATCAAGTTCGTGGGGCTGATGGGCCGCTTCGCGCGGCTTTTCAAGAACCGAACTGACTGTCCCGAGTCCAGCTGCGAGGCATACTGGCTTGGCACTGTGGTGCACTCCCTGGAGCACCACACGTCGCTTGACTGAAGTGACATCCCTTAAGGCGTTGTACGCAATGGGCGGGTCGTTCTTGGACTTTGTACCAAGATTCGGGAAGATGAGCGTGCGGCTCGTGTGCAGCCTGCAGCCATCTCCATGTTACAGATCCCTTTGCGAGAATGTGAAGCTGGTTCGCTGCACCGTGGTGGACGATATCCCCTACCCGGGGCTTGTCCAAGTACTTCAAGGACAGCCTTTTTTTTCTTCATTTTTCTCCCCTGCCCAAGTTGAGGGGTAAGAACTTCTTTGATGAGACTTTGCAATCCCGTTTGGGCAACGCTCCTTGGATGGTCCGATTTCCATGCAAGTCCACAAGTGTGCCACTTAGCGCGAATTGCCCCGTTTGCGAGGCCACCGTCGCGACATTCTATGGGTTGATTTCGCCTGTCAAGTAGTCGCCTCAACATTTAGGGCAGAGCTAGGCTCTGTCCTCTCGCCATTGCTTCCGGAAGCGTATAATTGGGAAGTCCTTCTGTATTGCAGGACGGTGTCACAGGATTCCATCAACGCGTCTATCAAGAAGCCAAACGCATCGATCCGGAGCTCGCGGCTGCGATGCAAACCTGCATCATCAAGTGATTGGATTGGGACTCGGATGTCTCTTCTTTTTCATCTCGCGCTTATTTTGCTGGTTGCGATCTTCCAGACACCCATCTCCTTGCTAGGAATACGAGACTATTTCAAATGATGTGCATGTTCATATAGGGGGCATTGCCAGGTGCTATCACGCGAGGAGATGTCGTGTCCAGTGCATCTTGATTTTGTGCAGTCCTGTTCCTGCATTTTGAATGCTGTTTTTTTAAGATTCTTGCGCAGGTGGCAGTTCAAAGCTTGCCTTGCAAGAGGCAAGCTTGCTAAACCCCACGTCGACATGTGAGCGCCTTGCAGAAATGGTTTCTGCGAAGCGATCTATTTTGGTGGCAGTCAAGGCTCGTTACGAGTCCCTGAAATCAGGGGAGGGAGACTGCGCCCCCGTTTGTGGTTGGCTGAAATTAGCTGAAGAAACAAGCCCAAATCCCGAAATCTGAGGTTGGTGACGAGGCAAGAGCCTTGGCTGCAGATGACGGGAGCCAGGTCGAGCCCAACCCAAGAGCGTCCGCCCGGCAACTTCCTGGCTCAGCTAGCAGCGATGCCTGGTGCACCACAACATTGGTGCACTGAATTCTTTTGGCTCGCGGTTTTTGGGCATGTCACGGAGCTCGGCAGAGTGAGGTATGGGTGACGACTGCCCTCAGCTTGGCGGTGAGCTGAGCACCCAAGCGACTCGCGGTAAAAAAGGAGAGCGTCGAGCGTCTTCTTTTCGGGTTAGGGCTCGGAGCAGTGCGTGTGTACCTCAGGACCATGTGCATTTGCATCCGTTTGATCCTCCTAGCCTGCATGTGTGTGTGTGTGTGTGTGTGTGTGTGTGTGTGTGTGTGTGTGTGTGTGTGTGTGTGTGTGTGTGTGTGTGTATGTGATATGGATGTGAACGTGAGTTGTTGAAGAATGATTTTGACACTGCTTCCATGCCAAAGAAAGTGAAGGCCAACATGCAATGCTGATTCCAAAGTTGAGAATCCAGCATCTTGCTTGCAACCGAGAAGAAACATCTTGCTGGTGCTGCTGGCATGCTCTGAAATTTCGAGCATAAGAAGGAAAATAGGCATGACGGATACTTTGAGGTTTGAAATGGATGTGTAGTGCTTTGAGCGTCCGTCAAATTGGTTCGTTTCATGTGGGCGTGATTTGCTGTTTTGAACATTGTGGCGCTGCCGAGTGCACCATTGGCATTGCGGCGACGAGCGTTTTTGGCTGGAGACGTACATATCATATATCTTTGCGGTTTCTCGAATGCTTTGAAACTTGGAATGATGCATTTGAGTCTTTGTGTGCGGGTGCATGGGTGCGCTGGTGCACCTTTGCAAAGGTGGTTGAGTGCGTGCACGCGTCCCTCATGCACAGATTTGGCCACCCCCACGTGCCGGGCATGCTCAAGAGGGCATGCTGTGTGCTTGCCCTCCGGACCGTGCAACGTAGTTTCAGGACGCCATGCTGGACTGCGTCTTGTTTGCATGCACGTCTCATGTTTCGAACTCAGTTCGGAGCAACGGCTCAGGTCTGAGTGCGGAAGGTTGTGTGCAATCTTGGCAGCATCAATTCCCAGTTCCTTCATCATCCTTATAAAACCATTTTCTATGGTTTCTGTTAAGCTCTGGGTTCATGCCCAAAGGCTGGGTCATTCCCTGCTGCGCACCAGCAAGTCATGCGCCCTGCTTTGTGTGAAAGTGTGGGGGCCAGCTCAGGTATTTGGCCGGGATCCTGACGCCCGTACCTTATTGAGGATTCGCCTGTAAATACCAACAAACAATGGTTGCAACCATGGTTTCTTAGATGGTGTGCAATCGATTTCGTCCATCCACAGTATCATGAATTGAACCGCTGCAGGCTATTGCGAGCAGTTGCTTTCCTTTGCGCTGTTGATGCCGATGCGAATGTGTGCCCTCCTCAACTCGCTGAAACGTGCCTGTTGGGTGACGCTTTTACTCGCAGCCGCAATCAAACTTAGGGGGGAAACAAATATTTGTTTTTGGCACACTTCTCTTGCCATACAAAGGTGCTGATATCCGCTCTGTTGATTCTTCACAATGGGGTTCGGGTACTCTCTTTACGTTTTCATTTTCTCTCAGCTGATGCCTCCCATGTCCTGCGGACACGGTGTGAAGCCCATGGCCTAAGGATCATTGCCGGGACCTCCTTCGGCGCAAACCTTCAGGCCTTCAGGATTTTGATTCAGTTTGGACCCCTCCAAACTGCCTATGCGATTTATCCAAAGGAACATCAGGTCCTACGGAAAGGACCCGTTTTGGCTGTTTTATGTTTGATTTGCAGGGGAGTCATATGCAGCTGGCCAGCGCTCGCTGGCTCCAGCCAGTTGGTGTAGGTGCAGAACAGTTTGGGTTTGATGTCGATGGATGCAACGCCGCTTGCGAGCGATGAAGGTTATTGCAACATGCTTGGCCTTATCTGGTGTGAGATGCTTAGTTTGCACCGCGTTATGTGCTGGACGTGTGGTGTGCTGCACTGTTCATGTCTGCACCTGGCCACCACATGTTCAGGTTCCCATACTGGTGATGGCAGTCTTTGGCATGAACTGGCATATCGGGCTGTATGCCAGCTGCCAAGCATTGCGGGTGTCGAGTCCGTAAACACAACCCGCATGCGGGGCCTGAAACCGAGGTCAGGCGCTTTGCACACTACCTGGCGCCCTGGATGCAACGAACAGTTGGACGTGTGAGGGTGCCATGCTCAGGTGGCGTCTCTGGTGTTTGATAGCTTCCTGTTGGCCATGTCGCCTGGCCAGCAAATTCATTGGGAAGAGTTCCTGGCATTGAGCGTGATGTATGGGATGTGGTACCGGCAGATGCAACACACTAAGCAAAGTTTCTGTGCAGCGAACAATAAGACACTTGTCGTGCGACGTTTGCCCCGCCCCCTTGTTGAGGGTTGTTTGTTTGGTGATTTACTGCTCGTTTGGTGCTAAGCGTCGCATAGGAACCTGACCGTTGGAGTCAGTTCTGCCGCCTCAGGCTTCCTGCTTCAGGATTGATGTGCACCGTCCGCTGCTGACAAAAGAAGGGGTGTACTTGCACCACCTATTTGACTATGGCAATTGCACACATGCGGGAATGTTTCAAGCTGCCGAGCGGATTGCTCTCAAACCCATGCCAAAGATTTGCGAGAAGTCTGAGGCCTTAGCCAACGAATATGTCCTGCAATCCGGCCAGCTCCTTGTGCATCTGGGTCTGTTACCCGCTTTCCAGTCAAAGCTGACAGAAGAAAAGACTGTTGAAATCTATCGTCCATGATGGTTGGAAAGAGGGAAGAGTTCAAGGCACTGAACCCAGCGGCTGTACCCTTGCGTTTCTTGGCATGGCAGCTTTCAGGAGACACCTTGCGGTTGTTCGCGAGGGAAAGCTTTTGCCATGTGTGATGCCTGAGACCGCGTTGTTTTTTCTGGAGGTCGGATCTTTGTGTGCGGCTTTATCAACGCTGCCTATGGCTTTTGGGCGATTGTCAAACCCTGAGTTGAGCGGCAAGTTCGACCATTTGCACGAAGACGTAGTTTCAAAGGTTGAGGCGAGACCAAATGGCCGTGGGTCAAAAATAGGTACCCAAATTTGAACCCTGGCAAGTGGTAACATAGACTAAAACCTGCGGTCCAATTCCTGGTGGGTAAATTTTGACCCATAGCCAAATGGAAGCTCGGCCCCATCTTGGGGGCTTGTCCTAGAGAGCGAAACCGACATTGCGAGCGTGATGTGCAGAGGTCTTGGTCCTCCTCGAGATTCAGCTCGTCCGCAAGGCCCGCGTGAGAAGTCGGCCGATCCATCGATCCATTCATTTGGACTTCGAGGAAGCCCTAGATTACGGAACCTCAGCCCCAAATTTTGGAGCTTGCCAAGTTTTGAGACAGCCAGAGACTCAGTTGATCCATGGAAACCTTGAGTTTGATGGGGCGTGCCATGTTCAGACGGGGATTGTCACGCTGGTTTTTGGGAGCTTGTCCCCCAATCCGCCTCCCAAAAAATGCTGGTCGACCTCCTGGCGTGTTCCTTTGGGTGTTTTCCCAAGAGGGGCTCAGGAACCAGGCGGGCTCAGACCTCGCCTTTGTTTCCGGCACCTTTTGCTGCAGGTGCACCAGCAAGCCCAGCTGGTAGAGCAGGGCGAGCACACAGAGCTGTCCTGGCGCTTAGTCGCCGCTCTCTCTCTCTCTCTCTCTCTCTCTCTCTCTCTCTCTCTCTCTCTCTCTCTCTCTCTCTCTCTCTCTCTCTCTCTCTCTCTCTCTCTCTCTCTCTCTCTCTCTCTCTCTCTCTCTCTCTCTCTCTCTCTCTTCCTTCCCCCGCGCGTAAGTGCGCACGCCATCCTTGTTTTTTTCCTTGTGCTGCTCTTGTCTTCTGTCAGAGAGCCAGCTTTCCAATTACTTGCTGTACCACGAAGAATTCCTTCTAAGCTTTGCTTGCGACGCCGAGTACCTCCTCCGATGGGGGCAGTTGGGCACTATGTGTCAACGAACACGAAGCGTCAAACTTCTGCAAGGCTCACCTTGGTTTCTCCACCCATGTTGCTGCAAAATATAGTGGGCAATGGAGGCAATGGCAGCCTAGACGCGCAAAGTGTGCTGCGGGTTTCCGGACGAGGGATATGCACGAACTTAGGCTGCGCTACGAGCGAAAGCCAGTGGATATCAATGCCTTTACGGCTGGATAGATGGCGAATGCGGAGATGGGTGTGTCTCAGGAAAGGGTTTGTCGATGGGTGAAACATGAAACTCCAAAGGAAGCTGCAAAGCCAATTTTTTGGGCTCCAATCTTTGGACACACCCATATGCTCTTGCCAGGCTTGCCAAGATGGCGCGAGCTGTTTGCCAAGACGGCAAACCAATGGGCTGCCCGTATCGCAAGTCCGGGTGTGAAAAGCCGAAATAGCTGGCAATGCAGCGGCCCGTTTTTGGGCACAGCGGCAGATGTGTCGATCACTAGCTCTGAGGCATGCATGGTGTTGCCTTCTTGCCGACGTTTTTTGGCTTCCATTCGCAGTAGTCGTCAGTGCCTGAACCCTTAAAGGGTCAGTCACAACCTCTGCGGCTATGACGATTGAGAAGGCTGGAATCACTGCTTGGACAATTGAGAGACCCGAGAGGCCTTGGGCAGTTCGAGCGATTCTTGCTTTGCCAGCTGAATTGCCGGCATCTGTTTATTTAAGCGCTTTTCAGCGGTTTCCGAATGGTTTCCCAGGGTTTTCATGGGTTTCACATTCTGCGTGGATTTTCCAGCACAAAGAAGCCTTGTGCTTTCGACCTCAGGCCAGCCCGCTGGCCACATGGATCTCATCCATCGTGGGCATTTCGGCTGCATGCGCCGCGCCTTTTCCCCGTCCTGTTGTTTAGGGGGGGTGGAGGATATGGTCTTCCAACAGATATGGGCTTTGGTCAGATGTGGGTCCGGTTTTGGAGGGTGCCCTTTTTCGAGCTGCTTTCAAGGTCAACCAAAGGTGAACCGCCACTCAGAGGGTTGCCTAGTTGGGAGAGAGACCCATGTTTGTGGAATAGCAGAACACATGTATTCTTTTGTCGTTTCTGTGAGGTAACTGCTCATGCCCAGAACTACCACAGGGCCATGGATTTGCTAGGCTCTTGTACACGCACTTTTGGTTCACTAGCGTACCGATCTCAGGGGAGATCATCTCACGACTCATAATGGCTGAGTGGAAGAAGGGCACCTTTGC